CCCACACCCCACACCCCACACCCCTCTTTTTTTCCGTCTGGCATTTGTCCTTTTAAGTTTTCAAATATTTATTTCCTGTACGTCAAGAGGAAAGGGGGTTCCCCTTTCATGGAATGCGGCAGTATGGGCCTCTTTGATCGGGGGATTCAGATGCTGCTAACGACGGTGGGGGCCTTCGCCGCCTTCAGCCTGATGACCATCGCCGTGGGCACGGACTACTGGCTGTACTCGCGCGGCGTGTGTAAAACCAAGTCGGTCAGCGAGAACGAGACCAGCAAGAAGAACGAGGAGGTCATGACCCACTCGGGACTGTGGAGGACTTGCTGCTTAGAAGGTAAGTTTGGCTTTGGCCGGGTGTTTTTTTTTCTTCTTCTGTGTCACCCTCTCCCCCCTCGCCTCGCCTCACGCCCCCCCCACCGGGATGACATTTTGTCGCGGCCGTGTAGGTAGGTATTTATTCTTCGTGCGTGTGGGGAACACACACCAAAAAAAAAAAAAATCGGCGCCGCTTTTGCGGTTACGTTAATCATATCAGGGCGCACCTCCCGTTATCTTTTTTTTCCCCTCTCACGTTTGGAGATCGGATTCCACATTTGTCGCACTCCCATTAACCCCACTCCCCTCCCTTCATCTCCTCCTCGCTCCCTCCCACTTCCACTTCCACGCCGAACACCTTCCAGTTAGTATCCCGCAACTCGCACAGCAAAACACGCCGCGTGGGTCCCCCCGGGGAAAGATCTCATTCAAGATTTCCACACAGCGTGGGTAACCGCTACATCCAGGTGGAAGGTGTCGTACAGAAAATATTCCAGCGCTCGTGTGTGTTACTGTTGGAAGTTTACAGTCCACCACTGTGAAGTAACATGGAGGCTGCTGTATCGTATTTGGCCTAGCAGTTTGCATTTACACTTCCATGTCCATGTTTTCTTGTTGTGTGCGGCCTACTCCACGCCTGACCGCAGTTAAAATGGCTTGTGGTGATGTGTTCCGAGCTCATTATTGTCGGGTTGTGTGGCTTGCGTCGGCCCGGGCTCCGTTCAAAACGTGCCTTTTCGATTTTTCTTAGCTGCGGCATAAAGGACGAGGTCGGTGTTTTCCTCTCTCTTGAGCCCGGGTACTGTAACGGGTCGATGGATTTGTGACACCCGCTTCTCACCCTGCACCCCAGCTTTGTGAACTGCAGTCTTGTGCTTGGGGTCGGACCCTGGGCAAGAATCGGACAGAATCGAGATCTGAAACGGCACGGGGCGCTTTTGTTGTTGTGTTTTGCACGGCTCTTCCGAGGCGCCACAAAGTCTTGGCGGAGAAGGAACAAGTGTCCCACCTGTCTGCGAGGCCCAGTGCGCACAGCCTGTGTCTACAGGACAGGCAGACTTGGGGAATGATAAGCTCTTGTTAACTGCATGGTTATTTGAGCCGACTGCCTTTGTGTCCCCAGAGCATTTCTGCTGTTTCTTAAACAGCTTAAAGGCTGACTTGAGTAGAAGAGGAAACAGTGGTGGAACTCCAGTAAATATTTCAGGGATGTTGTGGTGTAACTGTATACTGTACAGTGCTTATAGAAACTCTACATACCCCTTTTTTCCGAAGTAACGTGTTTTACCAGCCTCACAGCCTGAAATCGAGACACATGAAATCTGAATTTATTTTACCTTTATTTACACATCATAACCCACAACCACCAGGTGAAAAAGGAATACAGAGACCTGCTGAAAAGCAATCGCAATTGAAAGCCTAGAAAAATGGCTTGGAGAAATGAGAACGTGTTACTTTGGAGAGGGTGTGTAGACTTTCAATAGGCGTTTTAATTACATTTCAGTTCATTTTCACAGCGTGCCATCATGTGGTCCTATAACCACTGTCATAACAAACCATTTGAAGCACTCAATGTTTTCTGTCCTTTTGTAGAGTAAGTGGAGAATCTTATGTCAGTGCTCTTCATGGTGCACGTAGTACAGTGTATATGATTTACCGGGGCTGTTACTGTTCGACTTCACTATTCCAAATGTGCATGGGCAGAAATTCCAGTTTGAAAAAAAAGACAGTTTTAAAATATTAAATCCTTCAATGGCGAAGGCAGCCATCGCTAAATGAATTGTGTTTCCTGTTCAGTTGTAGCTAGGGACGATTTTCAGTTTGGAGTAGCTGGGGGCTGTGAGTGGCAGTAACAATGCGAGATCATGGAGTAAACGCTCTGTTGGGAGAGCACTGCTTATGGCAGACTGGGGAAAACTTCCACGCCCTTTGAAGAACTGTCCTACTGAACATCTCTGGGTACTTCAGTGCTTTGATCTCAATTTGACATGATGTCGTTGTGGCCTATGTCTTTGACTGGCATGTTCTGAGCTTTACCATACTGGATCCCAGGAATACCCTGGCGTACTGCTGGAAACTGTATTGTAGAAAGATGTGCAGAATGTAAGAATGTATCAGGGTATAAGAAACCAGTATTGTAGAGCACAGCTAAAAACAGATGTTAAAACTGAAGGAAATCATGGCAACACGAGGACTGGAGTCCCAGGCTGGCTGGGGAAAACTGAAGGAGGTCTAGTAAGTAGTACAGGTGACTTGTAGTAGCTTAGGAGCTCTTTTTACAAAAAGCAGAGCTCGTCTGTTGTTAACCATCTTTATTGAAGTCTCTCCCAGTGTGAACCGTGTCAGTAAATGGTCAGTTGCACACAAGGGTGTCAGGTGTAGCTGTAGTTGTAAGGGACAGGGTCAGACACAGACTCGGCAGGGCCCCATCTCTGCTTACAGGTTCCTGAAGTGTCCACAGCTTCTCTTTTTGCTGTAGCTCGGGACATGGAAACTGCAGACACAAACACAATTAGCAGATTTCACCAGGCTCATTCTCCGCTTGCAGGATTATCGGAGACTCCCATCTGTTTGTAGCGGACACTGGGAATTATTTTCTCCCGTATTTTCTTTTTTGGAGTACTGTAGTGTTTTGATTCTCTTGGCCTCGTGGTACGGCCCTCTCCATTTCCTCCTTTTTGCTCTGATGGCTGTGGGATTCTCTGACCTCCCTCCTTGCCTCTCTCATCCCCTGTGAGAGCCAGGCATCGACTGGGTGCCCGGGTGCTGTTGGGAACGCCGAGCGCGTCTTTCCCGTTTAGTGTTCGCGACGCGTTCTGACCCTGGAGGTGACCCACAAACTTGGCCAGTGATTCAACATGCTTATTGATTCGTGTGTTTGTTTGTTTTTTCATCCCCCCCCAACAGAAGCATAACACAGGGCAGTGCTTCAAGTCTGTAGCTGACATGATGTGGTTAGTGAAAAGCCAGCAGTTAGCTGTTCATGATTCACCCGGTCTTTAAATCATCGTATCCTGTCCAGTTTAATTCAGTTCTGCTTTGGTTCCGTATCGTACTCTATGAGGCCTGTATCATCCTGTTCTTGTGCTACATTTTCACAGTACCCAACCATATGAAAGGGGCTGTTCATGTTAGACCGTTCGTGACATGGCACAACACCGAGCACAAAATGGAGCAGACACAAACACACCAATACAGGTATCGCCTCCGCCCGCTATGTTATGCAGTTTCTGGTGCAGATGCTACAAGGGTTGTAGAAGGGGCTTGAGGAAACCGGATGGTGCTGTTGATTTCTCGGGGTGTTTAATCCGGCAGGTTGCTCTACCACACTGAAATGAGCTCCTTCGTGGATGCCTGCGTACTCGACGTTGTTCAGCATAATAGTCACAATGTCCTGCTGATTTCCCGTCCTGAACTTGATTTGACTAGTGCCCTCATTGGTCGAAGTCCCCCTCATTCAGTTCTAATTGCGGGCTGTATGAAAGGTTTCTTTTCTGGAAGTTATTAACTGAGGTTTGGGATGGAGAACAACAAGTCCGGCTCATCAGCCTGTTCAATCCGAATCAAAATCATTCCCGCAATTAGCTATATATCTATCTAATACTATCCCCTCTTTTCACATTCCTCTCCTGCCCCTTCTCCAGACTTGGGTAGCTCCTCTCAGAAGGGGAACCAAGCCTCATCGTTCCCAATATTGCCAGGGGGCTGCGCCTTAGCCAAGAGGGTTGAGCAATAACCTGCCTATAACCCCGTTGGAAAGGTGTGGGAGGTGGGTTACGAAGATGGAGAAAATCGGGGACTGGCTGAGCGGATGAATTTGTAAAGAAATGGAATGATCCAGGCCCCCAACGTGCTTGGTGCAGTTAGAGACACGTGAAGGAAGTTTGGTGAAACACCAAACACCAAACTGTGTCACTGTCATTAACAATGACAGCGACACACACTCCACTGCGCACAACATAAACACACAGCACACAGGTTTCTCTATGTACAAGCTTACAGATGTTTTTGGAGACCTACGTTTAGACCACGCAGACAACCTCAAGTATTCGACTCTTCATGGAACAAGCAGAGACTTCTTCTTATCTTATTTTCTTAAAAGAAAAGAAAATCAGTCCTGTTACAAGGTGTGGCTGTAGGGTCTGATGCAGCT